GTGTTAAATAATTGGAACCAGAAGACTTGAAAAAAATTTAATTGTGCACTTGGGAAATGCTTCGAAATGAATTAAACAACAAATTGTATCGTTTAAAGCTGCGATTTACGTGTAAATCAATGAATTATATTATTCGAGAGATTTACAGAAAGTGTACATGTGAACATTTAAGGGTAAAGTAATTTTGCGAATTCGACAATTGTTTGGAGAAGTACTTTTGAAGTGTGCGTGTTCGAATTTTGTTTAAAATTAATTGGATTTGTAACGAGGGGTGAAGGGGAAGGAAGAAAATGAGAGAGAAAGAGAGGATGTGGGTGAAAGGGAGAAAAAGGGAGAGCGTGCGTGATGGAGAGAGAGTGAGAGAGCGTGAGTGATCGATGTAATTTTTTTTCGTTTTCTTCTCTCGGGAAAATCGCGTGTTGGGAAGATATATGCGCACCAGAAGGACAGAATTTTCCATGTAATATATATACCCTTACGTAACTACGTTGTTTAATATTGATAAGGATCAAAAATAAAAGTGATTATTCAGAAACTAACGTGCGAGTGTTTTATTTACAAAAAAGTATTTCATTTTTCCTTCAAACAATCAACTGTCGACTACTATATAATATGTTAATGACGAAACGCATTCGGATGGGATGAGACCCGACGTCAAAAATGGAACTCTAATTAACACCATTAATAACGACCAGAATTAGAATGATACAAATCTATTACGTACAGTTTCTGGAAATTTCTTAGACAGGAATATGTGGAGGATAAAATAAAATGCACAGGTAATTGTAAAATGTTATTTTGTTTATTTAATCTCATTGGGTTACACTGGAAAATATAATACAAAAGACCATTAAATGATTTAGCTGTAAATGCAATAATAGAGTAAATTACAATAAAGAGACAATCTCCTGAAGGCATCATTATTAAAGCATTAATGAAAATTAACGCTCGTCAAAAGTAATGTAATGAACCTTATTAAAATGTAGAAGTGTTCTTGACAACGAGCTGTCAATTTATAAAACTGACGATCAATTTAAATTTGGTATTTAGATCGGCACCGGAGCAACGAAAGAGTCGCGCCATCTAGCGGTGAAGAGTTTGGAATGTTTCTCCCTATCCCTATAATGTGTAAGACAAGGATAGAGCTACTGTGTGACAAGGACAGAGATAGTATTCTTGATGCCACCTGCTTCGAAAAAGCATCTCATCAGTCCCTGGTACGTACGCGCGAAGCATCAGGACTCAGGAGGTATCCGACAAGGACAGACTTATGCGTTCCTTGGTGTAAGACAAAGACAGATATAGAAGTGCCGCCATCTAACGGCTGCAGCCTTGGACTACAAGCGCTACACAAATGGAAAAAAACAACGGTATCAGCACCGAATTCATTAATAACTCGACTCTCGCGTATGATTCGTTAACATTTACAACTTAAAATCATGGAATAGACCATCTTCCACTTCCCCATAGCCCTTTTGTTAGGATTTTGTTCCAAGTTAATTATTTATTCATTATTCTTCGGAACGGTGTCCCCAAGGTAACCAAGAGTTTTTTGACAGCGGCCTAATAAAATATAAAGTTTCGCACTTAATAGGCATAATTGTTGAACGTTTGAGATTAAAGAAGTTAAAGCGGAACATTAGGAGTATTCTAGTGTCCGATTCAATCACATTTGAGTCGCAATGAATAAGCTGTTAGCGATTTACGGAAGGACTGATTGTAAGACAAGGAAAGATATGTAGGTGCGAGAAGGACAGAGATAGATGATTTGTTGCGCCACCTAATGCAAGAACGCTCAAGCTTCTAACAAACATTGTATCAGATTGTATCCGCTAGGTAGCGCCACAAACCAACTATCTCTGTCCATCTCGTACCTATAGATCTTTCCTTATCTTACAATTTGCCCTTCCGAAACTCGCTAATAGTTTATTATTTATAACTCAAATGTGATTGAATCGGCCACTAGAATATTCCTAAGGTTTTACTTCAACTTCTTCAATTGCAAACGTTCATCAATTATGCCTATTAAGTGAGAAACTTTATATTTTATTAGGCCGCTGTCAAAAAACTCTTGGTTACTTTGGGGATACCGTTCCGAAGAATAATGAATAAATAATTAACTTGGAACAAAATCCTATCAAAAGGGCTATGGAGAAATGGAAGATGGTCTATTCCATGATTTTAAATTGTAAATGTTAACGAATCATATGCGAGAGTCGAGTTATTAATGAATTCGGTGCTGATACTGTTGTTTTTTTCCATTTGTGTAGCGCTTGTAGTCCAAGGCTGCAGTCGCTAGATGGCGGCACTTCTATATCTGTCATTGTCTTACACCAAGGAACGCATAAGTCTGTCCTTGTCGGATACCTCCTTAGTCCTGATGCTTTGCGCGTACGTACCAGGGACTGATGAGATGCTTTTTCGAAGCAGGTGGCATCAAGGATACTATCTCTGTCCTTGTCGCACAGTAGCTCTATCCTTGTCTTACACATTATAGGGATAGGGAGAAACATTCCAAACTCTTCACCGCTAGATGGCGCGAATCTTTCGTTGCTCTGATGCCGGTCTAAATACCATATTTGAATTGATCGTCAGTTTTATAAATTGACAGCTCGTTGTCAAGAACACTTGTACATTTTAATAAGGTTCATTACATTACTTTTGACGAGCGATAATTTTCATTAATGCTTTAATAATAGTGCCTTCAGAAGACTGTTCCTTTATTGTAACTTACTCTATTATTATATTTACAGCTAAATTATTTAATGCTCTTTTGTATTATATATTCCGATGTAACCAAATAAGATTCAATAAACAAAATAACATTCTACAATTACTTGTACATTTTGTTTCATCCTGAACCTTTTCCTGTCCTCAATCTCCCACTATTTTAAAGTTCAGAATTTTTGAGAAATTCATCTCTGAAGCATAAATTGAAGAAAGATTTCCAAAAACGCACATAACAGACTATGGGGGCACTCTAATTTTGAAAAGTGTTAAAGGAGTTAATCCTTCTGCTACAATGGACAAGACATCTCGGTTCCACAATGTCGAAGAAACGATTTCTAGACGAAATATCTCGCGCATCTGTTATTGATAGGAAGAGTTTTATTTGAAAATCTGGAAAAACCACAGCTGTTGTCGCCTACGAATTTTGAAAATTATATTTCATGAAATGTTTGATCCCTAATCTATAAAGTGCAATATATTTCAAAACGTGAAAAATAATGTTATTTTATAAAATGGGAAATAGTGGACATATTGAAAATTACATAAGTTAAACAACTCTCTCCATCATCCAAAAATCGTAAATATTATCTAAATGCTTACCTGTCGATGACTGCATATTTTACATTGAAATTACAAAATTTTCGCAGCCAGTTAGCCTAACATAATCCTTCATAGGAAATATTTTACTCGGGATAATGTTAGTTGCCCAGGTCTCACCACGTGGAGGTTGCTGCGAGTGGAGACCCTGGGAGTTGGGTGGAAAATCCAATTCCACCGACCTCCCGTTCTACATCTATATCTTATGTTTAACGCACGCATATTTCTAACTTAGCTTAGCTTTAACGGATAACTTAAATTACACGATCATCGCAGTAATGGGAGTGAATCAAGGAAGAAGTCCTTGATTCGATCATGAGACGAATCAGAGAAGAAGTCTCTGATTGAAAACAGGCAAAATCACGGTGACGCGAAGCAAACCGCGATCAGACCAGTCAGACCACCGTGCCGAGATACGATGCTCCCTCCCCTACGGAACAGAGGATGATCTCCACCGGCGCCAGCGTTCCCCCGTTAACTTCCCAACGCCCCATCCTCGGAGAGGATTAGAGACAGGCAACATGGTACCGGTCCTGATCCCACCATCATGATCTAATAAGTCGGTCACACCGAGTTACGAGGACGGCAGAATGACTGATGTGACACGCGGCCCGATCCACTTGCATGCATGGCAACGCGAATCGGAATAAAGGGAGACAAGCGAGTGAAGCTAAAGAATAATTGCTCGCCACGATTTTACATGGATCGTACAATGTTGCAGCCGATCGGCCCAGCATTATCCTCGATAGGAATTACTCTATCGGCGATAACGCTGGTTTCCAGGCCCACCACGAGGAGGTTGCTGCGAGGGACCCATTTCCGTTCGCGAATTAACTTAACCCCTTGCTCTTTCATTTGTTTCTCAACCGCGATCGATACGATTATTTTGGCAAACGTTTATTGAAAGAGGGAAAAATTCTGGGTATATTCTGTGTCATTTACTGTCAAGTGTTATAATTGATGAAAAAAATATTTAATTGGTACTGAAAAGAATCGAGTAATATTTATGCTTAACCTTTTGCATTCCGAATTTCTTTTGCATTTTTCCCTCGATAACTCTGTATTATGATATTTGATTTGAAATGCATTTTATGACGAGTTACACGGTGCGCCGCAACGTTCTGCTATCGCAGTTGGCTCCCCATCGAAATACTTGGTCAGAAGAGAACTATGTATTATTTAACTACCTCCAAAAGTCCTTTTTCATAAATTAAAGTATAAAGTATTTGTCCCCAAGGATTCTTCGTTCATAAATCAAAGTATAATTACAGATTTTAAATCCATATAAGTCTGTGTCCGCGTTAGTAAATGGGAAATTTGTTGGGATCGAATTTCAGAACTATGCACAAAAAATTGTATTGTATAAGAAGTTTTTATGAATTTTTAATTTGTGTAACCAATGAGGCTGAAGCTGGAATAACGTACACTATTTAAAAGTATAAATTTCTGAAATTCTAAAATTTTGTGAAGTTACAAAAAGAATATTTTGTAGTTGCCAAATGTTCAAAAATGTATATATGTTCATTTATTTATTAAATACATACATTCAATGTAATGCAGAGAACAATGAAAATGTACAACTTAAACTACTTAATCAATACAGTAAGTTTTAGTTTATTTCATTGTAATTATGTCATTTTATTTACTTTTCATAATCTTAAAAAATTACAAATACAAAAGTTTGAGATAATATTTAAAGTACGATTATAACAGGTTTATAATTCATTAAAAATAACTTCAACAATGGTTGATTATGATTCTCTTGAATGTAAATATTGTACAATATATGTGATATAGACAATTCACAATAATACAATTTTTGTTATAAGTCTTCTACAAATAAAAATATTTCAATCTATTTATGAAATTATTTCATTAGATTAATTCATTATTTACATATCTTTCTCTTATAATAATGATTTTAATATATTAGAGACTAGTTGCTGTGATGTGTTTATTCATATTCTTCAATTACCTAAATAATCTTAACTGTCCAACAATAAAATTATAGTATAAATAAAATTAAAGTGTTATTTATTTCAATGCTGCTTTCAGCGAAAAATTTTTTGTTTCTTCTACTAAAGTCAATGCAGATTGTCCTGAAAAATTTTTTATACTTGTAATAGCTCCATGCGCCAATAATTTTCGTGCAACTGGAACATGATTATTCTCAAGAGCATGAAAGATTGCAGTTCTTCCTGAACGATTGTCTTTCAAATTCACATCAACATCAGTCTTTAATAATGCATTAATTCCACTTAAGTTGCCGTTCAATGCACAATAATGTATAGGAGCCATGCCTATGTATATAAATTAAATAATTTATAATTTAATTAATGTAAATAGTGATTCAGGATTTATGATTTCATATCAAATACTCACCATTAGAATCTACTTTATTTAGTAACTCATGATCTGTAACATATTGTAACAGAATAGGCAATAAAGAAGAGGATGATTTACAAGCTATAATTATTGCTGATTCATGTGCAGTTTCTGGTAAAACTGGTTTAGCTCCTTCATCTAGTAATAGTTGTACTATATCGTTAGATGCTTCCGACTGAACTGCTAATTCTAAGGAGGTCTGCAAAACAGAATGACATTTTCATAATTCAATTATTTTTACGTATGTTAAGTAAATATAACAAGTTTACCATTTCATTTTCTGTTAATACATCAATACTTATTTTACAGGCTTTTAATACCAATAGGAGTCTTTTAACTTCTTGTAGATCATTGTCTAACACTGCTCTATGAATATTAAGCATTCCATTATTGTCCCACTGATGTACTGATGTGTAGTCAACTGTTAGCTGTGTATGAACTTTTCTAATTAGTGAGTATGGTATATCTAAAGTTCGTTTCACATTATTTACTATATTATCATTTTCGATTTGACACTGAGTGAAATACATATCTAAAGTATGTAGATCATTTGTTTGCAACTGTGAATTCGTATTTAACGAAAAATATTCATTATCAAAATTATTATGCTCCATAATACTAGGCTGCGTTGGTATGTTTAAGTCAGTCATAGGAGTTGTTGTGGAGTGCTCGATTTGTTTTATTCTTTCCAATGTAGGTATGTCTTCTTTCACTAACACAAAATTTTCTAAATCAAGGAGTCCAAACACATCAGTCTGTATCTGAGAATCGTGTACTGTCCTCAAGTTTTCAGGAGGAATAATTGGAACATGTTTTGCTATACCTATACCACAATCCTCGAGTGCTTTTAAAGCTTTAGCACGAAGTTCTTTATCAGTTACACTGATCAATGCTTCTTTAATTATATCTAAACGTTGTGACAGTTTTTGTTGCTTCACCTCATTTATAGTTTCCTCATTATCAATATTTGTACTATTGTTAGTATTTTCAAAGCATGATTTTTTATTCTTAGGTTCCATGATATTACAGGAGCTATCTTTTAAACAAGAAATAGTGTTTGTATTGTGAATTTCCTTATTATAAAATACATCTTCAGAAATTGAACTAATTTGTGACTTGTTTTGAACAGTAGCATCTTGTACAATTTGCATCTCAAAGCTTTTTGCTTCAGTCTGAGCTTTTCCATTAGACTCTGTACTGTTGTCAAGTCTTAACATGTTTAGTCTTTCGATATTTTCACTATTCTCCTTCGAAGACTTATTCTCTATAACAGAAGCAAAATTTGCTTTACTGCTGTCTGTTTTGTTAATGATATTATCTATTTCCTTAATTTTAATTGCAACTTTCTTTGCCATAGTACCTTTCACTATAGGTTGCTTCAATACATCAACCTTTGTTGTAGATGTTTCTAAAGTACTGACTTTCAATATTGATGGTTCTGATACGTTATTTTTCATTATAGTCTTTTTTAACGTGTTAACTTTCGCTTTGGATGCCTCTATTGGACTTTTTTGCAACATAGATCCTTTTATATTACCTATATTATCCTTTGTTTTTGTAATTAAACTATCATTTGATGTACTCAATGGTACCACATTTTTATTTTTTGGACTTCCATTACTTGTTACACGAGTATCATACAATTTATTACAATGAATTATATTCGATAGAAACATATTTTTACTAGTTACATTATTGTCTAGGTCGTCATTTTGCAAAAATCTAGAAATTGTACATGGACTTTTGAGTAATTTGCTTTCAGAATTCTCCAAATTATATTTGTCACTATTAACATTGTCGGGTACATTCTTGATGCAAACAGATGTCTCTTGCATTATTGATGATTTATCTAATTTCTTTGAACATTTAAAGGAAAGGGTAACAGGCTTATTTATTTTATTCCTCAAATCCAATTTGTTATAATCAATGGTTTTGCCTATTAAATTTGGAGACAAAAATTTCAGCTTAATTTCCCCAAGGTTCTTTCCATCCTTTGATTTTAACTGCATCTTCTTTACATCATTTGTCACAAACATGCCTTTACTCGATGGATTATTTAAATCTTTTGGCTGTGTTAAATTACATAATCGTTTTGGATATGTTACCCTACTGGGAAATTGTTGAGGCAACTTAAATTCTCGTTTACATTCTATTAAGGGTATGTTGATATCTTTTCTTGTTATTCTCCGAAATCTTTTAGGTGGAGGTGGAGACTCTGATTCCATTTAATAACTCTTCTGTGAAATTACAATCTTCAAATTATAACAAAATTCCCTGTGTTATGGAATGGAAGGAAATCACAGAACTTACAGTATTCGTTAGGCCATCACATACGTAACCTGCACGCAGGAAAATATTGCAATGTGAATTTGTACATTACAAAGTTTTAATTACATTTAAATTAACCTGTACACATAAAATAATCAAAAGCTTTAAAGTACCACACTTATGACTCGTTTAGAGAAAATATAACCCACAAAATTTTGAAAAGAGAATAGGAATCACCGAAGTAATTTGCGAAACGGGACATCCCTATCTAGGAAAATACACTGCTGCCGACCATCACAGAACAAAAAGTTTTAGTCTATATTGTGCAACCATAGTAGCCAATTCTGAAATGTGAATTACTTTTTGCAAATATTATTTTGGTAATATTTAAAAATTTATTTCTAATACGATCTGAGTAATATTAAACAAACGTTACATCGAAACGAAATATAAAAACTTTAGCATAACAGTTAGGGCTTAATTGAAAAATTAACCAAACATTAATTGTTTTTCCCAGTTTTACAACTTATAACAATTTTAATTTATAGTTTATCACAAACTTACGCGATTCAAGCTACAAACGATTACATACGATTGTAAACGGACCATTGATGATGTTGGTAATCCTGATAAATAGGTTACTTCGTTTATCGACGGTACTTAAGAAATATACATTTTCGTATACATCTAACGTTACTCATGGAATCAAAGATAAGATAGCCCTACTTCCGAATATCTCACTGAATTTTAATTTCTTCAAATTTCAAGGGGATACTGCATTTACAAATACATCACATACAAAACGTAACAATTTCTCCATTCCTCTAGAGAATAATCCCAAACCACATTTTCTTCTTGCATCAAACTTACAAAAGTAACATACCAAATATATTCACACACTACAGTATGAATCCTAGCCTATAAACATCCATTCAAATTTCCTCCTGTCACGATTTTCCAATCGTGTACCCTAACACGAATATTATTCTATTGCATTAGTCAAATATCAATTTATCACGTTTTATCCCCAAAGCTGAGAACGCAAGAATGTCACCGTCAATCTCACCGTTTTGAAAGCACCGCCCTGCCGTCCGATGTGCATGTGTCACGGCAAGGAGGGCGGGCGGGAGATCGTTGAAAGGGGGAGAAAGAAATACGAGACGGTACTCGAATTCCATCTGTCGCAGTGGACTCGTAAATACCGAGTACCTAGTATCACGAGTTTAGTTACGGCCGACCGTTAACACGTATGGAGTGAGAAAACGAGGAGTGCACTCGCTATAGTTTCGCGGAGGTTCGCTGGTGCAGTCATGAACGATCGTCGGAACAATCGGGAAGTGGTCACGGTGTTGTTTTTATGTCTGATTTGGTACGTGATTTCGAGCAGCAACAATGTGGTGGGTAAAATGTTGCTGTCGGAGTTTCCCTATCCGTTGACAGTGACCATGGTCCAGCTAACCTCGATCACCGCCTATTCCGGTCCGTTCTTCAAAATGTGGGGTGTGCGGATGTACTCGACGGAAATCCCCTGGGGATATTATCTGCGGCTGATCGTGCCTCTCGCGCTGGGAAAATTCTTGGCGAACATATTCAGCCACGTCAGCATCTGGAAAGTCCCTGTGTCGTATGCCCATACTGGTACGAAACAACGCTATTTCGGCAGTCACGTGTACACCGTACCCCACGCTCATCTTTCAATTACAAAGCGCGCTGACCTTTATTAGATACGTCCAGGCTTAGTTCTGATAACGATCACCTGATAACGCGTGTACTTTCGTTTCTCGGTATTGCGCGTGGTAGAAGAGATGTTTTGGTTGACACAATCTTTGGCACACACACATGACACTTTTGCGCATTTGGATCACGTTTTGTTTGATACTTGATAGTCATTGTGAAAGGAATTTGAAGGGAAAATGATTTATTTCGATGATATTTGTAGTCTTGATGATAGGAAGGGATAACAGTATTTGCTAATGAAACAGTGACGATTGTTGGAAATGAAAGATGTTTTGGAATAGAATTATTTATTTTTAGTTTTATTAATCTTGTATGTTAACTGAAGTTTGGCTCTGTCCCAGTGAAGGCTACAATGCCCTTCTTCACGGTGTTCCTGTCCAGAGTAATCTTGAAAGAGAAGCAAACATGGAAGGTGTACTTTAGTCTGGTTCCAATTGTGGTTGGTGTTGGAGTTGCTACTTTAACGGAGCTTAGTTTCAATATGATAGGTCTTTTGAGTGCCTTAGCGTCTACCATGGCATTCGCTTTGCAAAATATTTATTCCAAGAAGGTACTTATTAATAACTTTGTGTGTATATAAATATGCATTATTGATTGTGTTTTGGTATTTTCAGGTGCTACATGATACGGGAATACACCATTTGAGGCTCCTGTTAATTTTGAGTCGTTTAGCGTTATTGCTCTTCTCTCCCATATGGATACTGTTCGATCTGAGGCGTTTAATATACGATCCTGTAACTCATGGATCGACAGAATTAGATTACTATATATTGGGCCTGTTATTCTTAGACGGTGTATTGAATTGGTTTCAAAATATTATTGCATTCTCAGTATTATCCATTGTCACTCCTCTAACTTATGCAGTGGCCAGTGCGAGCAAGCGTATATTTGTCATTGCAGTAACTTTATTTGTACTTGGTAATCCAGTAACATGGATAAATATATTCGGTATGACACTGGCCATTTTTGGAGTATTATGTTACAACAAAGCGAAGTATGATCAACGGAAGGAGAAAGAGAGTCAAACAGTTCTTCCAAAATATTACGATAAAAATCGTAATGGTGTTAGTAGTTCCTTCACGGCGAATGGATGGGCTGACAAGAAACAACAATCGTTTTCTGTCTAGTCTAAATTGTTAGACTTGTTTCTTATCGACAAGCTCTCACAAGTTTTCTCTAACGGATCATTATGTACCAGTCATGGCGATGTAATCAGTTATTTATTTTAACAGTGTAGGAAAGGCAAGGAGTAATGGGATTGTATAGAGAACATTGTAATGTTGGGATGTACAAATTTAAACTCGTCAGATGACATAGTATTTATGTATATATACATATTACCGCATATGTACATGTGACATGTATATATGTATATACGATCACGCGTATGTATATATACGTACATGCATAGATATATTTTATTAATATTAATTATTGTGCACAAAGGTGTAATTGGTTATCTGTTTCCGCTTTGTATTTTTTTATGTATTACACCAATATTGTTCTTGCGCTTTCCACAAGAATAGACCTGCTGGCAAGGTGGGATATATCGTTAAATTCGCAGTTGTTAGCGTACACGGTTGATTGCTGGGTCGATCAGCCTTAAAAGCCGGTCAGTTGCCCGATAACATTCCTATTAGCCCGATAACAAAGGTGAAACGAATCGGTCCGGTTTCATAGATCGAGTTCATTTCAATACGCGTTACGTGTCCATTATCGAACAATGGTATTCGTGTAGTATCGATTACGTATTACATTTTACTTTCATGATCAGAGTGGCCGGCCACAATAAACGCGAACACGAGTTCGAGATAATGCGATGCCAATCGTTCGCGTGTCGTGACATCGAGTTTCGCAAGCTCATAGGTTGTTAACAATGGAAACACGATACGGTTAAACTCCCCGTGACAGGGAGCTTCTCTTTTGCAATACTCTCAGAATACTTCTGGTCATTATTATTAACCGCACGAACGGGGTATCAGTTTTAGCGATAATGATAAAAGCAAAAAAGAAAAAAAAAGGAGAAAGCAAAATTACACTTTTCCTTCTGCAACGCCTGTTAGATTATAATATACCTCTGAGAGTTAATAGAATGTTTTTATTCGAGGCTTAGATGCGCGCGACATCGTCGCCCCGTATGCGTGTGTTCGGTTGCGGTGTGCGTGGGAATTGTGTGCAGGAGAAGATGTTCTAGCTAAAAGCAATCTATACATTTATTTTTATAAATAAAATACAGGTGTGTAAAAAAATATACCAGATACCATCCACCGAATCGTTTACAGTACAACTCAATCACGACGTTGCTCTTTAACCCCTTGTCCTACAGTGTTTTTATGATGTTAGGAGGAGACACTGGTCTGGCGATGGTCAGGTCTAAACGCGAGCCAGCTGCAGCGATCAGCGGTACTGCCAGACAACAGTCGCAGTCTTCGGTGCTGGCCTCGTTTACCCGCAAGATCCTGTCGTAAGGTCGCAGGACGCCGTCGCAGGGTCCACCAGGTCGTAGACGGTTTATGTAGACTCCCCGTTCGTACAACCCGTCCGACACTGAAAACCCGAAGTCCTCGTACACTGGATCCTTGTGCAAAGACACGTGAACTATCTGCTGCGGTCTGTCTGAACTGCTACGTTCCTGTGGCCTAACAGAAATCAACGCAAATTATACATTAACATTGTAAACCAATAGTATCAAACTGATTACTCAAGACTGTTCGTTTTCTTTTACCCAGGGAAAGGCGGCATAGGAAGATCCAGTTGTCCACTGTCCACGGAAGCAGTGTCCCATAACCTTAGAATCTCTGGACCCGCTCCGCTATTCTCTCCCAGCTCTCCCCAAGAATCTACCGCACTGTCCACGCTTGGAAGACTTCCTCTTGTAGGCCGTAGTAGTCCACTAGAGTATTGTTGAGTCGTGTCGCTTCCTATACTGGAGTCTCTGCAAAGACTCTCTATGAAGTCTCCAGTACTATCTCACTGCGTTCTGTACTTTGTAATGTTAGACGCATTCGCGACCGCTGACGAGAATTCACGTCTTTTTAAATATTCTATTCTTTTATTCTTTCCCTTTTGCGACTTATTTAACCTTTTCGTTGCGACCTTACTCGCGAATGTGCTATCACGGTAGGAGTAAGTCCCTACGTGGAGACACTAGTTTTATCACGACCTAATTGACTTTACGTACGTTACTTTAATAGTTAGTGGTATATTGTAATTTATTAATTCCTTATTCTAGTTGTATTACATATTATAAAATATAATACAATAGTATATAATACATAAAACAAGGCGTCAGGCATCGGGTGACTACAGTCACCACTAGCATCGAAAAGGTTAACGAAAAGTTCTCCATTTTAAACACCAGATCGTTACAAGACTAATGTTTCTAAACAAATTTTCTAATTTTTACCTCTCTTTTAACACGTTGAGTGCTATGGGGATCAACCGTGACTCCCAACCAAATCGAATTACTATAGTTCACTCAATTAAACGACGATTATTTGAAAATATTCGTATATTATAAATAATGTTATCAAAATGCAATTCAATCGAATGATTTAATATCATATTTTTTCCATTTTATGTATTCTGCTCTTTAAAATCGTACGGCATTCAACGTGTTAACGTCAGAAATTTGCAGTAATTAGATCTTCGTTTCTACCGGCAACGAGTATTAGAAAAGCGAAAAATTTATCGGTCGGAAGTGTGTCAACATTTTAGTATCATAGGACAGTGAAGTAGTATTTTGCGCGGTGTGAAGCTTTCACTGCGCCGTGTCATGTTACTCAAAGGTCAAAGCATCGCGAGTGACGTTAATGATAGCTATCCGTTACCTGTTCTCCGAAACGGGGTCCGGTTTCCTGACAGTTAGAGCGACGACCGAACTTCCCGGGCGATGTAACAATTGCGCGGCCTGCCTAAGGTCGCCTGGGTCCAGTTTTTGTCCGTCTATCGCCAATAGCCTATCACCGGCTGCCAAGCTTCCCGTTCTGTATGCCAGTGATCCCTTGCGGACCTCCGTGATGATTAGGTCCTCGTTAACCGTTAGGCCAACGTCCGGCTGACCACCGATCGGCCTCGCTACTCGCACGGTGAATACCCCTGAACTGGGTACAACCGGTCCACCGACCTTGTACTCGATCACCAGTTCAATCTACCGTGAAATCGAAGTAATTAGTTAGCTCTTAAGCTACTGATCACGAGTGGTTAAGTCGCGGTGATGGTTTACCCACTGAAAACACGTTAACAGGCTTCTCAGTGTCTATCGCTATTAAACTCGTATAATATTTTACTATCGACAATTTGGAAGAAAGGCAACGAAATTTTCCATTCTACTTCAAGTCAGACGACTCAAAATGACCCATTTCTGATTTCTTCTTTTTGTAATTATCAAAAAGGTAACAGATGTTTCTTGGAGAAAATATTAGAGAAATTGATACAGCAATACGCAAACTGAATTTTACACGAATTAAAGTCTTAATAGATGCACCCTTAAGTTTCTATAGAGGAATTTCAAAAGGTCAATTTAACTGCTCGGCAGTTTTAGAGTTCATTCAATTAAATGATGATTATTTGAAAAAATTTCTATATTATAAGTAATGGCACCTAATGTGGTGCCATTCAACTAAATCAACGTGCAATAATAATATTGCAATTCAATCAAATGATTTAGTATTATATTTCTTCCATTTTGTGTATTTCGCTCTGTGAAATCGCGCAGCATTCAACTTGTTAACCAACTTCCAGTAGGTAAACTGTTAACCGAAAGAAGACATGACGCTTACAACTTGCGAGCTCTCCAGTATACCATTGACCTCCGGCGGCTGCAGGTCCCTGAGGAACCTGCGATTGATCGCCAACACTTTGTCACCGGGCAGTAAGACGCCGCTTCTCTCGGCTGGGCCACCAGCCTCCAACAAACTGACCACGTATCCTAGACGGTCCTCCGCGGGTTTCAAGGCCAGACCGAAGCCCTTGTGATCAGGTCTCAAGACAACAGTCAGGCTTTCCTTAGTTTGTAAAGTCTGATTCGAGGATTGCTGAGCCTGCGGTTGCGCCCGTCTCTTCACCGTCCTCTGAGAGGCGCTCGGCGGCCTGGGCAGAATCTGTAGCCTAGCGATCCTCGAGTTGTCGAAATTATTCCTGAGCAGCTTAGCTGCCGTGACAGCGTCCTGCACAGGCGTCTCGTCAACGGCCAACAGCTTGTCCCCCGGATGCAAAGCTCCGCAGCGGTCCGCGGTGCTCGCTGGCCGCAGACTCTCGATGTAGACTCCGTTCGCAGTCTCCCTGACGGTTAGCCCTAGCTCCCCTGTAACAGGAATAAACCATCGATCAATCGTTGACTCCGAAATGGCCCGCCTGTCTGCATTGAATGGACTTTCCCGGTTCTAAGAGCTCTCGCGGGCATGAAAGGTCTGGTAATTAGGGGTCGGAAATAGATCTCGGTCCCTTTGCGTTCAGTTCGTGGAAGTGCACCGATGTAAACAGTCGAAGTTCTAGCCGCAATCTTTATTTAGTTACCCCTGCGGTCTATAATTACCCGCCGGAAAACACTTTATCGAGTGCAGCGACTTTCGACCCGCGAACTATCTGAGAACCGGCTAAGCTCGTGGAGGACAATGGCAATTAAGTGGTATACCAGAGATGCCGCGTTCCAGTTGCACCAGGAGAGGGCCAGACGTGGCAGCCCTAGCTTCCTCCATGTTGGCGACGTCGTACTCGATGGTCAAGGAAGCGACCGGCGCGTCCGAACTCCTCCTGAGCGCTCTCTGAGCCTCCGTCAGGGTCAGACCCCGCAGCTCAGTGTCGTCCACGGCTAGCAGCCTGTCTCCGGGTCTGACTCTCCCCTCTTTCGCCGCTGGCCCGTCGGACTTCACCCCAGTGACCACCAGTGCCCTGGAGACTCCGCCCCTTAAGGTCACCCCTAAGCTGCCACCTTCACGTTCGACCCTGACTTGGGCAACCTTTGAGGACACGCTGGACGGGGCCGAGATAGGGCCATCCTGATCATCCAGTAGCAAGAAACTAGGCGGATGGTAGCTCTGCGGAGACATGTCGTCAGCCCTGGTCGAGTCGGAACTGGCAGATGTGGCCACGCTTCCGGGCCTAGTACGGCTCTTGTGCGATCGCATGGTGGTCAGTCTCAGGGAACTAAACATCCTCGGCCTTTGCTACCAGGTGTGTATCACGGCAGGGTAACCGTTCGCATCGCTGATGGATACAGAGAGTAACTGGTTACAACTGTTCTAGGGTTCAAATATTATCATCATCCTCACCGGAGACACCGAGATCGAGCCGGCTGCCAGACTCACCGGAACACTGTTACACTTGGACGATGACTGGCTCATCTGGCATATTTATTTTCGGAAAGGTGTAATCTCCAGGGAACCGCGATTTATTTCAAGAGATTGTTCCTCGGCCCGGCCGAGTTTTATTCCGATGTCATCGATTCCATGGAACGTAACACTTGGTCTTGTAGCACTGATCGAAACTATTTCTCGCAGGGGCAGAAGGCGAAGAGGATGACGAAGAACCGGCTGATTCGAGGAACCGGGGAACCGTGACAATCGACCGGTCCCTCTTTTTGCTCGCGGGGTAAACAGTGTCTTTGTTCGGAGGGAACCGCGGAGAGAGCAGCTCCTGCCGGACGAAACCCGTTGGAACTGAACGCGGAGAACTGTGACGAGTGGCGATCGCTTCTCAAAAATAACTCGGCGGCGTAGGGCCGCATCCTCGCGCGCACGCGGATATCTATTTATACCGGCGGCACCCTCGCCGACCGGTGCGTCGCGGTGCGGCCCTGCGCGGCGCCCCGCAGTCGCTGCACCGTCAAATAAGTCTGCGCCTCTCGTTGAAACTTTTAGACGATTTTCTGCTGTGCTCTGCGTCACGTCGCGTCGCGTCGCCTCGCCTCGCCTCGCCTCGGTCGAGCGTTCCAGCGACGCGCACCGCGCTTAATTTAACGAGCCGACAAAGATCGGCTCGGGCGGACCACTTTTATTTTTAGGCCAAGAGATCGGCTGAGCGAAACGCGCGCGAACGTTGGACTCCTCATTTTCGTTGTTATTGACAAGCGGGTCTAGGGTAGTTCTGCAACCTCTGCACGCTTATTAGAGTTTTGCTTTAGCTGATATTTGTCAGTTACCGTCTCTGAATCTCGCGGATTCTCATTGGATTACTGTAAAGCTGATTTAACGCGTTGACGCCACCGTTATGACACTTGTTTGCGCATTTGGCAATGATGTCCATAAAATTGATATCATTGAAATTATTGATAAGTTCATTAATTGTATACTACATGGACAATTTTGTTTATCTACTAAACCAATTCACTGAACTACGTATTTGTTGGTACACGTCGTCTGATATGACAGTAGAGTGTGAGCCATCGGTGGTACACGCGGTCAACGTGTTAAAGATAGTTCCTATACGGCAGTTGGTTCGTTAGGGGATCGGTTAATGAGTAATTAAGTAGTAAGGTTTGAGTCTCCCAAAGTTTCATGATATATGTTGCACTCAAACAAAAAGTGAAGAAGTCTCAGACCTATCACTTGTAGCGATGGGTTTCAGTCTTCCAAAGTTTCATTATATATGTGACATTCAAACAAAAAGTGAAAAAGGCTCAAACCCATCGCTTGCAGCGATGCAGCCTGCTTAGCGTGTATGGGGGTCTTAATGGTGAGGTAATATACTGAGAAGCAAGAAGATTCAGCGGATTCAGGGTCCATTGACCGATCGTCTTAACGCGTCGGTTTTTGCGACGCCTCGCCGTCCCTCTAAATCTCTCCTCGTTTCAATCCCCGAGCCGTTCAGCCGGCCACTCGACTCGCCTCGCCCTCCCCGTCGATTTCGCCGACTTATCCGATCTCCGGTTCGCAGAAGCCCACCTTTTATCGTTGTTCATCCTTTGACCTTTCGCCTCATTGCTCCTCTACATTCCGTATCAACCGAACAGCGGCTCGTGCGGACCGTTTAGCGGCCTTTGGCGGTTAACAGCGAAACGAAAGATCGGAGATAGGTAAACAATTTGTGTTTAAAGGCGGAGCCTCGGCAGCTCGAACGCTTATCCGGTAATTAATCTCTCGCCGCGACCCGGCCGTGTCGTAATGGATCAATTAGATCAATCACCCGGTTAATTACCTCATTAACTGCCACTTTAGCTGTTGCGGATCGGCGTTTTCTTGCGAATACTCGGACCCCGCGATGAAAAAATATCTGCACAGTGCGTAATTCACTTCTACTAGTTCAGGGACTCGCATTGAACGCTGGATGAAAGCGTGCCGAAAGAATCTGTGAAATCTGCGATCGCGTCTGGGAACTGTGAATAGAATCGTTATGCAACGGAGAGCGAAGAATATAAGCTAAGTGAATCAAGGTTCGAGGGAAGACGTAGGTGGGAGCTAGAACATTAAGAATATCGTTTGATCGAGGCGTTGGAAGCATGTGAAGAGAGATAAAGAGTTTAAAATATTTATTTTGTGAGGGAAGTCTGGTCTAGATCCTCGAGTTGTCGACTCGAGCACATGTAACTCTTGAGATCGATTCAAGTTACGAGGATTTCAGCGAAATTTCTTTTGTTCCACTGGATAGAATGTTGAAGTAGATTCTTTGAGAATTAATTTGAGTGGTTAAAAGGCGAAATAGCTGCGTGGGAAGCTATCGAAGAGTTGTTCTGCTTTTAACTGTCGACTTGAGGACATTTAATTTCTGAAATAAAACGATGTTTTTATAGCTTTCCATTGAGTGAATTTAACTTTTGAGTACTCAAGTTAATTATTAAAGATTGTAATTTAATAGTCTATCCATTCAAACAAAATGTACTTTACTTAAATCCTTGAAACTACAATAAGATTTATTTTGGTGTATAAGTTCATTAGATAGTCAAAGATAAAATAGCTTTTCGATAACTGTCGGTGCAGTGATTTGGACTTTGGAGTGTTCAAATTAATACTTATATCTTGTAATTTAATATGTTGTCCATTTCAGTAAAACCCTTGAAACTAAGATTTATTTCAGCAGGTATATAAATTCGACTGAATAGTTAAAAATAAAATGACTTTTCCATGACTTCCGGTACAGCGATTTAGACTTTGGAGTGCTCAAATTAACCCTTAAATCCCGTAGTTTAATCTCTTGTCCATTAAAACAAGGAAAATTTCGTTCAGAGTCTTGGAACCGAGATCTATATCACGAACTGTACGAGTTCGATTAGACAATCAAAAATAAAATGACTCTTCGTTGACTTCCGGTGCAGCGATTTAAATTTCTGAGCGCTCAAATTAATCTGTAAATCCTGTAGTCAAATATTCTACCTGTAGAAACAAAGAAAATTTCGTTGAAAGCCTTGGAACTAAGATCTATTTCACGAGGTCACGAGACAATCACAAGTAAAACGACTCTTCGATGACTTCCGGTGCAGCGATTTGAACCCAAAAACTCTAAAATTACTTCTCAAAGGCTACTTCTCAATTTCCCCAACCTTCTCAAACACTTGAAACCACCATCGATCCCAATAGCACGTAAGTACGACCAAAATAATTCTACGGTGAATTACACTAGTGCTGATCTAGTTACGGGACTAGCAGGTGCCGAACGTCGCCAGTCACCTAATTCCGGCCCTCGTTATCAACGGAAAGCGTCGTCCAGTCGTCGCTGGAGCAGTCGCGCGGCCGTCTTTCGACGGGGTCGCCACTCTCATCCGTCCGCTGGCAAACATGGTGGTTCGCCAATTCCTCGCCGGGTAGCTAAAGTTAGCGTGCAGTCAGCGCGCAGCCAAGTGTGCGAACCAATACGTACGGACGGCATACTTAGCGGCGAGGGGCAGAAAAAGAAGCGGGGAACGAGGGGGGCAAGAGCAGAAAACGTGGGAGTCGAATGGAAAGTTTAGGCTGAATGAAGGGAAATCGAGCAAAACGCAGCCCGCGGAGCAAAAGGAGCAACTGGTAGACAGGAAGAAGGGGTCCGCGGGTGGAAGACGCTCGAGACAGTATCTATCGGGACGGAAATAATAATAATCCTCTTCGAGTATTAATAACTTGACCGCGGCGCAGCGTAGAGTAACGCCGCCGGTAATTACGCGTCTTTGAAATTTACACGCCGCGCCTCGGGCGTCTTCCGGTCCCCCGGACCCTCCGCTTTGATCTCTGACCGTAGACTGCGGATGTCCACAATATAAATTACTAGAGAAAGAAGAATATTTTTCACGGTTCTAATATAGAATAAATGAAATAATATACACAGTTTTATGATCATTTTTAATACAGTAGCACCCTGTATAACGCGATTCAAAGATTCATAGAGAGGTTAGATGTTTACGTATCTCGCGTTAAATTCCTGTTTTGGTACTGGTCCAACTTCTGTCTCTGCTTGTATTGGGTCGTCCCATAAGTTCGTGGCGTTTATTTGTCTATCATATACAATCATATTTGAACCGTTTATTTTGACAGTGCTTGAGTCCATTAAAAAACCGTTTAAATAAAAGGTAATCTGAAATTGTGATAACCAACATGATCCTCTTTCAAAGTAGACTTAAGCCACTTTCAAGATAATCAGCTCGTCTTATTAAATGTAAAATATAATTTCACTGTCGCTGTTCGAGCAGCTTCTAGCGACTGAACCGAAGCCTAAAGTCTTAGTCAGCCAAGTCTCCTTATCGCTCTGTGGTTAACCGTAACGCGAGAAGCATGCACACCGAACTTACAAGACGACCTATTATCATTTACAAAGAATCTCATTCTTAATACTACTTTTTCAACGTTCTAATCGCGTTACAGGGGATCCTACCGTACTCCACATCTCGAAGATTACATCCGCTAACAACAAATGCACAAAGGTCCTACTGTACTTCACATCTCGAAGGTAATATCCGCCAGCAATAAACGCATGAAGATCCGCAGTCCGCCGGTCAGCGGCGGAAATAATTCTGAACGCGTCCAGGATTGTCCATACGTTTTATTTGAAACAGAATAATTGTTAGCCGGCCATGGGCACACTGCTCCACGGCCGGGCGAGGGTTTATAAAAGACGGGACACCTGGGGAGCCAGCGTCCGGCAATGGTTCATAGAAAAGGAGGTGCCATGGCACTCTGCCGGCCTGGAGAACACGTAGGCGCTGCGCTCCCCTTTGCGCGTCCGCCGGAAGACTATGGTCTAACCGCTCTGTCGCAACGCGGCCTCTACGTTATACAAAATCTAGCGATAATCGGTTCTCTGCCTGACACCTCGCGAGTGCGAGCGGCTTTAGGAACGTCGCCATCGGTGTTTCTCGGTTAGCAACGCTACAGCGGTAGCGTACGCTGTCAGTGATGCCCGGGGTCAGCTTGGCTCCTCCCGGGACGCTTTTGCTTGTAGACTCGTGCCGCGTCCTCTGGGCTGAAAACAATCGGCTCGTTCTTTCGTTCTGCGCGGGAAAGGGACTGGACTCTTTCCTCGTTCACGGAACAAGCCGTGATCAGCTCACTCGAGGGAGATCGGCGCCAGTGGACGAAACCGAACCACGTCGAACCCCATCGACGCGCGGAACTGTTACTGTTCGTTCAGAGCGGCCCGAACGCGGTCAGTCCGTCGCGTTCGGATTGGTATACGAGAATCCACGGAACACACCCTGGTCTATCGAGGTTAGGATCTGGTCAGGTACTGGGGTCAGCCGTGGCTTCTCCGCGGTGAACGCTGTGTCGAAGTACTTGGTGTCCAGCGTGTGCTCCAGCGCTGGCTTGAACGGCGGATCCAGCTGCCTCCTCTCCAGTCGGTCCCATGGTATCGTCTGGAAATTCGTTCGGGTTTTAGAATTAGTGGACATGATTAGAGTTATTGATTGAAATGCATGGAAATCCGTAGCTTCATATTAAACAATTTAAAAAAAATAAAATTCACAGTTTTACCAGGTAATTAGTTGCGGTAACATTTTTCTAATAACATTAATTAAGGACATATTATTTATCATTCATATATTACTATATTATGTGTTTCTTGTGTTATTAATACAGAGTGTCGCAAAAGACTGCTACCACGTTAAAAAATATAAATAAAACAACTTAAAAAAATAAAATTCAGTTTTACCAGCTAATAAATTGCGGTAACATTTTTCTAATAACATTATTTAAGGACATATTATTTATCATTCATATATTACTATATTATGTGTTTCTTGTGTTATTAATACAGAGTGTCGCAAAAGACTGCTACCACGTTAAAAAATATAAATAAAACAATTTAAAAAAATAAAATTCACAGTTTTACCAGCTAATAAATTGCGGTAACATTTTTCTAATAACATTATTTAAGGACATATTATTTATCACTCATATATTACTATATTATGTGTTTCTTGTGTTATTAATACAGAGTGTCGCAAAAGACTGCTACCATGTTAAAAAATATAAACAAAACAATTTAAAAAAATAAAATTCACAGTTTTACCAGCTAATAAATTATGGTAACATTTTTCTGCGATACTCTGTATACTGTACTACTTATCACTCGTATAATACTATCATATTCAGTGACGTATATATTAATTCGAATTTTCAGATACTACCTGGAAGAAAGCGTGATAAGAGATCTCGTGACCGGGCAGTCTCTTGCCAGCGTCCTTCTCCAGAAGGCACAGCAACATGTCTATGGAGTCTTGGCTCAGGTATCGCGGTATGAACGGTCGCTCGTTGCATATACTCCAAAATAGCTCGTCCTCGTCGCAGCCGGAGAACGGCGACTGTCCCGTGAGCATTTCGTACAGCAGCACACCGTACGACCACCAGTCCACCGCCTGATTGTATTTCAGACCCTTTATGATCTGCAATGCGGAAACGAAGCGGCGGATAACTCGGGGAGACGGACGGATTGTTGTTATTTGAAACACTGTTGACTCAACCCTTGCACAAGACCACTGGCCAACTGGCGCTGTAAATTTAGAATCTAGGTATCTTGACCTCTGTACACACTGAGGGGATTGTTTGTAGACTTCGTTAACTCTCTTTCTCCTCGTCTTTTTCAGGGATACCTTGTGCTTCTGTGTCAGCTGCGTGAACCGTGCGTCCAACTTCTTTGGGAATTGCGTGAACTGAATTGAACTTTAGTCATAGACAGACTGAGGATGCTTCTTTAGGTCAATAGATTCTGTATGTTAAAAATATGTTGATTCCTTTTGACTAGAATGTCTTTTATGCTTTTCATGTTTGTGTCTATCTTCTTTAGGAATTGGGCTAATGGAAATTAGTGATCAAGGATGCTTCTCTATCTTAAAAGACACTATATATTGAGAATATGTTATTATTTTGTTTAGAATATTTTTAAACTATTTATCGTTATTTATATATGTGAAATTACTGTCGAATCGTGGTTAATTTAATAAAGGTATTGTCGAAAAGACTGCTTGGTCTTTAGATTTAAAGGCTCAGTGCTTTTAGGTTTAAGTTCTCTTATTCTTAAACCAGTTATTAAAAAAGTTACTTGGTCTTCTATAATTCACACTAGAACTACTAAGTACCTACTTCGTAAATTTACTGCTTTACACTTTCCTTATACAAATTATAAGATTCGATGTATTAAAATTGAAATTCACTTATATTGTTAGCTTCAGTAATACTGAATTACTTTACTTAACAATTTCCTACAAAACTAATTACATCCTTACCAATTATATCAGAACTAAAGCATTAAATATTGGGTTGCTGCGAAAGCTCTATCGTCTTCTCATAAGAAATCAAAAGCAGAGTTCCCAACCGTTCACAGCCTAAACCAAAACTAAGTCCTTCATAAACACCAAAATATTTCAATAACAGATGTTATTTCTAAGAAAAAACTTTCCATCGACCACATACAAGAAACGTCAACATTTGTGCATCGACTTAACACATTGAACGCCGGCTGCATTTCAGCTACTAAAAACGTGAGCGTCGGTGATTATATTGATACATTTTTAAACATCGATTAAACCAAAATTTCTAATTTACGGAAGAGAATAAGGAATTCGATTTTGTAAATTTTATTTTGGATTTGTGTTATACATATCTAAAACGTTACATGAACATAGAATTAGCAATTAACACGTTGACTGCCACGAGAATTTCGAACGTTTCGTTGTAGTAAAATTAATTCGTTTGTAATAGAGGAAAATAGTATTAGAAATAATTATTAATGTTTTGGTATTACAAAACACGTACAACATTGTTGTCTAGCTTCTCGTGTTACTAAATATTTTGATTCAATATCAGTCTTTTTATTGTAATTGTTTTCAAGCAATTTGGGAGCGTCGGTCATCGGTGACCACCATGGCAGTCAACGTGTTAAACGATAGACTAAAAATCCCGCGTTATCGCGGGGTCGACGCTCAATGTGCTAATGTTAAAAATCAGTCTCTTACCTCAGGAGCCATATAATCCGGGGTTCCACAGAAAGTGTCCGCCGTCCTGTCCAAGAAGATCTGCAGCTTGCACATGCCAAAGTCTGCGATCCTGATGTGACCCTCGAAATCCAGGAGGACATTGTCCAGCTTCAGGTCCCTGTAGACGATCCCCTTTTTGTGCAGGAAGTTTAAGCCGGACCAGATCTCGGCCGCGTAGAAACGTGCCCTGTTCTCTGGGAATCGGCCTGACTTCTGTATGTGGAACATAAGGTCGCCACCGTTCAGGTACTCCATGACGAAGAAAAGGTGCGACTCTGTTTGGAAGGTGCAGAACAGATGGCATAGGTACGGGTGTCTGGTGGCCAGGGTCAGGACCTTCCTCTCGATCAGCGTGCACTCGACGTCGTCGTCCTCGAGCACCACGTCCTTCTGCAGACACTTGACCGCGTACACGCATTCCGTGCCTCTCAGCTCGGCCAGCAACACTTTGCCAAAGCTGCCTTTTCCAAGTACCTAGAAAATTCGATTGTGATACTGAAAGTATTGACATTCGTTCTCTGTGATCCTTGAAAATGGTAACACGATACTTCTCTGAGGGAATGTCAGCGTTAACTCTTCGTGGACAAGGATTTTTAGAAGCTTTAGACGTTTTCTTATGGGGAATTGAATTGGGTGTTGAATTCTTATGTTCAGTAGTTATTTGGATGCTTGATTATGTAGCTGAAATATGTATTTAACTGTGGGAATCAGATTGGTCTCAGTTCGGATAATCGGAGTTCTATTGTACTAGAAAATAAGGCAGTCTTGAATTCTTTACATAATACAATTTCTTTAATGTAACTTTCGATTTTTAAAAGCTTTAGAAGTTGTTTTCATGGGAAATTTAATTAAATATTGAATTCTTATGTACAGTGGAATCTTAGTTATTTAAACACTCGATTATTCGAACTGATGATGTGTTCTTTTCATTTGTTTTATTATTTGACTGTGTTAACCATATATTTAATTAGTACAATCTTCGTACCAGTTATTGGAGTGTTATCGTACTAGAAAATAAGACAACTACTAATCTTGTATCTTTTACATAATTGAATTTAATTCTTATTTTCTCAGCACCATTTTATTTATTTCACCTCTTCCAATATATTTTCAATCTTATTTTCTCAATGTTCTTAAATTTGAGAATATTAAAACAATTCCTATTTATTTAACAATATAACACATATACAAAAACCCCTCGCCATATTAGAATTAAATCGGAACCTTCGTTATCAAATAACTCAATTATCCAAACCAATAATATCTCCATTATCGTTCATTTATTTTACTCTTCGATTATGTAAACGATGTATGTGTTTCTTAGAACGACGCTCTACAATACCAGAAACCAAGAAAACCATCCACTAATCTTGCAATGTTTACATAATCGAACTCTTCGTGTGCAACTTTCGATTCTAGGTATGTGAATCTGGTGTGGCCAATAGGACGACGCTCGTCCTCAAAGGGTTAAAGGAGCCAAAGCGGCACACGGTGGAAAGTTCAAGCGTCTAAAGCGAGAGCGTCGCACGTGAGAGAGTGCCCCCGCCTGTTAAAAATAATGCGTTGCGTGGTGCTAATTCGGGTGATCTATTTGCGTGACAACCCGCCGCAAAATCGAGTCTGTTTTGAACATTCCGCCGAATAAATCTCGCCAATTCGCGAAAAACCGATGGGACGGTCCGGTTGGCGGTTTGCTCGCGCGGACAGCCTCTTAACCCTTTGCGCTCTGAATTTCTCTTGCATTTTTTCCTCGCTAACTCTGTATTATTACGATATTTCACTTGAAATGCATTTGAAAAAATAGGTAGTTTGTAGAGAGCAGTGTAAACGATCCTTCTTACTAATAACATTGAAAATAATATAATAACACAATCTATTAGAAAAATATCTTGACAAAGAAGCACACCTGTGAATAAAACTGATTTTTCTCAGTTCTTCGTTCTTCCTGAATCGTCGTTTAACCTGTGTCACAATATCTTTGCGTACACCTATTTTCTAACTAGAAATCGATGTACAAGTGTTCGGAAAATAGAGAACGGGATTCTGTCAAATTTTCGTGAGAACGTAAAACTGTATAAAACCAGAACGATGAAAGTGTCGAGCATCGTTCTTACGAAATTTAAGCCTTTGCACTCGAGAGGCGATTTCCAGTCGCCAGATGATTTGATGCAGCAAAATTATAAATCATGGTATTTACCATTAACCTTTGTACACTGCATCAATACGTGAAATATTGAAAGAAACTAGCTTTGTTCTCTAATTCATGTGTGCTCTCTTGATAAATTCATTTTAAAGAATCTTGTCCACATCTAATTAGAAAGTATTGAATATTTCAAGTGAAAAGCTTTCGAGTGCAAAGGGTTAAATGTTCTGAGAAATTCGCACCTGAAGAGACAGAGAGTCTTTTCAATGAGAGAAAGATGATCAAATCTCAGTCTACTGAGACCCGCTGATTTCGCGATAACGGCACGACGTGAATCAACCGGCTGGTTCACGTGACGCGAATACACGTGATCCAGATTAGCTTTCGTCGAGGCGTGAGGGCCGAGCCAAACGCGTTTCAGCGAGCAGCCCGTAAATTTCCGGAAACTATATTTACAGGTAGTTAGACGTACTGCGTGGTCTTCAGGCCGACTTTCCTCCTCCGGTTCTCGGTACCAACTATTTAAACCGCCGTTACTCTTTGTGCTCGGGTTTTGGGAAATTTCATTTAACGCCATGCGTTATAATGAGTGTAGATTTTAAATTGAAAATTGTAAATTCGAGTACTATACAGTTTTGTAATTGTCATTGCCTTGCGATGAGTCTAGATTTTAAGTTCAAGTTACAATATTATGCAATTTTCTTGTCACCATTGCTTTGTGATGAGTTAGGTGTTCAATTAGAAATAATGAATTAAACTGTTATACAATTTTCTTATGATTATTGCCTTATGATGAGTATAGACTTTAAATTGAAAGTAACTAATAGCATTATTATGCAATTTTCTTGTCGTCATTGATTTATAATGAGTTAGGTGTTAAATTAGAAATAATAAATTAGAATCTTAAATTGAAAGTAATAAATTCGAATATTATACAATTTTCTTGTACTGGAATTATATTATACTGTACATAGTTACTAAGCCAATTTATAATTTATATTTTTTATGATTATCTCATGCAACTGTATGTTATTAACGTATCAGTAAAAGTCTCCAAAGTGTTAAGTACAAAGAGCAACTTAAGAAACAAGGCAAGATCGATTTACTTTAAAGCACCACTACAGCTATTTATACAAAAAAGTAAAAAATTCCAAGAAACATAACTTCAGAACATAAATTCTTAGTTCAGTCAAACATGTTCCAAATACATTTCCTCCCGAGTTTCCTAGAACGTGCGTTACAAAGAACGAGATCCAGAGAAACAATAAAAATCAATCACCCTCTTGTTTTCTTAGCACCATTTCCTTTGTTCAGTCTTTTTCAACTTAATCACCTCCTCTTTTTCCTCAAAATAAACGTAAATTCTGACAAACTATAAAAATCTTGTTACGATGTAGTCTACATAACTGTCGGTCAAAAGTTTGGGACCACTTAACATGTAACGTGACAAATGAAAAATGATATATCTTATAAATATATAAAATAAAAGAAATTACGTGTATTTATATTCGATTAATACATATATCTATGTTCCTTTATTATACACTAAAATTCTCCAATAAAAGTTATGTACAAGAAATGAAACTTTTTTTAACCGATGCTTTTGCGTCCCATACTTTTGACTCACAGTGTGTATACCTGTGTACTTTAATTTTAATACTGCAGCCCTACAAATTTTCACAAGCCGACACTGTGAATACTAGAACTACTTTCAGAGGCAAATATAGATTTATTTATATTTTGCAATTAGCATATGGATTCAGTGATTTAACCTAACTAATATCAAAGTGATACACCATTGAGTGGACTCACATTAAATATCAAAATGGCGGGTTTCAGTTGTCTTATTTTTCAGTTATTGATACTTCCAAAGTATCAGAATGCTAGATATAAATATTAGATTTCAAAGTATCATAATCAAAACTACATTCAGAGTCAAATATATATTTACAAAAATTGTTTTCAATTTTTTAATATTTTGCAATTACCATATAGATTTGGTGACCTAACCTAACTAATATCAAAGTGATATCCCATTGAATGTACATTAAATATCAAAATTGCGAGTTTCAGTTGTCTTATTTTCCAATTATTGATACTTCCAAAAGTATTCTATACTCAAAATGATTTTGACATCATTAGAATATCCCGTTTTACAGGAAGATTTTACTCCCAAACTGTCCACCGACAGTGCGCTTCTATTTTTCCAAATATTTCGAATATACAGATAAACTGCGGAATGCGGCAGGGTCAAACGGAATGTTGGCAGAGCGAGTCGCGCGACGCGGAAACACGTTAACTCGCGCTCCGCCCTCACTACAATGGACTCACTTTGCGGAAATTGAAGTCCGTGACGGCGTACTTCTTGAATCTTGGCAGATTGGTCGCTGGCGGTGTGATTCGACCGCTCGGGAAATGGTCCGAGGAGTCCGAATGCCTTTGGGTGTCCGACGATTGCGAGGGTGCTGCGAATTTCAGAGTAAACGATCCATTAACGCTCAACATAGCACTTCGTTACGACCCTTTTCACTGAGGCAAAACATTCTGTTACGCAGCAGCACAATTTTAGTTAACACGTTGACGCGTTGACTGCCACGGAAAACATCAGCGTTCCACGTATCGCTGATTCCTCCGTAGCAAAGATAAAAAGAGACGATTATTAACACGCTGAATGCCGTGGAGGTCACCGGTGACCCCCAACCAAATCGAATTACTATAATTCGCTCAATTAAACGATGATTATTTTAAAACTGTTCCATATTAGAGATAATGCAACCTAAGGCGATCATCGTGCAACAATGATGACGCAATTCAATCAAATTGATATTATATTTGTTATTAAATTGATAACTTCGTGTATTTTGCTCCGCAAAATCGTTCGGCATTCAACGTGTTAATTATCTGCTACCACAGTTCTTACGTTACAATGTTATCTAGTTATTTACGCTATTGAACGTTTTCATTCGACGTCAGTTGTCTTATGAATTAATTGTCTTCGAGTCATTTCGAAGCTCCAGTCCTGTGGAACCACTGTGGCAGTGTTAAGCGCAATGGCAGTCACTGATCACCGAAGCTTCTGAATTGCTTGAAAACAATAAAAATGTTTGATAACGTAAGTTGATAATAGTAATGCAAGGGTTGTGATGCTAAATCATTCATTAGTGTTCCTACTTATCTTTGCTTCGAAAGAATGAGTGTTACGTAAAACGCTCAAGATTTTGGTGGCACTTCATGTATTAAATGGAATGTAGCACATACTGTCAGCAATGAAATTATTCGAACGTTATGCAGTTATAAATCTTCCTTAACACTTTCGTCTCTGACTATATCTTCTTCTTAACCCCTTGCTTTATAACAACGTGTCAAACTCGTGGTGAAGATTTTCATCACTTAACAAACACAAATATTACTCGATTTATTCGGATTCAAAGTAAATATTATTCTTCTGTAATCAATTATTATATTTAAGAACAATGATGGACATAGAATATGCCTACAATTTTTCTCTTTTCCCAATAAATTATTATTGACAAAGTAGTCGTATCAAACAGAATTGAGAAAGAAATCATAGGGCAAGGGGTTAATATGAATTTTGTAAAGAAAACTTACGGTTGTGTAATAATCAATTAGAACATATGTACCATTCGTTGCAGCGAACTTGGCACTTTTGTCTGAGTGGTCAGATTCAAAGGTGCACGCCTTCCTCATGCGAATGTTCCGTTCTGGTATACGATTGGTTGAGGCGCTCACGTGCAGGGGTCGAGTCGCGAGACAAAGAGTGGGGATTGCCGTTTCCGGACTCGTGATTGGATCGCTTGGGGCGACTGTATTCGCCCCTATGACGTCACAAGCGCCAGGATTCCAGCAACTGACGGTACTGATAATTGAATAGCACTTAAGCTGTCAGCCGTAAGTATTCTCGTTTGGTAATTTTCCTTTATCTTTAAGCCCTTTTCTAGTTTTCCGGTGATTTCAAATATTCGTGGTACCTATGTGTACCATTCGGGACGAAAGAGTTAAGGTCACTACTTCGAGATAAGTTAGAGTCCTAGATGTAGGTAAACTTTAGGATATTTTTATTGTTAACTCTTTGCCTTATAACGTGTCAGATTCGTGAAGATTTTGATTTGACTTTTGATTTCAAATTGAAGATTGTTCTTCTGTTATCAATAATTATAATCTTGAGCAAACGTAGATATGCTTGGAGCTTTTCTCTGTTTTCGATAAATTATTGATAGTTAGTATTTATTTACTATGATCGATGCGACTACTTTATCGTTAATAATTTATTAGAAAAAAGGTTATTCCAAAGGTTAACGATTGATAATAGAAAAGTAATATTTAATTTACATTCGAAAAAGATAAATAACACTTAGATTTCTCAAGTTCAGTTGAAAAGCTTCGTCACGAGTCTGACACGATAATGTAGGTCAAGATGTTAATTTGTTTGCATATTGCCAATTATTTGTTCAACTTTATTGCATGTGTTTACCATGAATGCAACTTCTTTCGATAAATAGCAATATACGGTGTACGAATTTTTTAATGATTATTTATTTCTTACCATACTGTTCGAATACTTTTGTTGCTGACTGTATCTATTAGTGGACTGGATGTTCGTGTAAATTCGCAAGGATCAACACACCACAGTAAGTTTAGGGAAATTCAATAACACTTCAGATTTCTTTGGTGCACAATAAAACCATTACCAGGGAAACTAAAGTAGTAAATTAATATGTTAGAAATGCTGCTTCTGTAAATTATACAATAATGCTTTGAGTTTGCATGTACATTCTCAGTTTGATAAGAAAAAATACTCGAAATACAATGTTAACTCTTTGCAGTTCAAAATGCCCTTTTTCTAAGGTGGCACTTGCATCAATGTTATTTAATCACAGTCCATTGTAATTAACTGTAACTGTTGTTTGATGCAAGTTGTAGCTAGGAGTATGACGTTCCATTAATCTATTTGGAAACCTGAAATTGTATTTACATATGTTTAATTATTAGAGTAAAATTGAATAATGAAATTGTTTCTACATAGGACTGCAAAGAGGTAAACAGACATGGGCAGGGGAATCCCTTGGATCCTCCTGATCTGCTCTTAGATCAGAAATTATTATTGATCAGAAAGCGTGTTAATTGAGGGTTCCAGTGCAAGAGGAAGCTAAGCAACAGAAAGGAAAATGAAATATATAAATATATAAATATATAAATATATAAATATATAAATATTCAAATATATAAATATATAAATATATAAATATATAAATATATAAATATACAAATATATATGTAAATATAGTAATGCTCATATTTCGGGTTGATTCGTTATTATTCCCTAACTTATATCTACATTTCACGTTTTCATTATGTGATGTCATTTCCGTGCAAGAGAAAAAAAGCCTTAATATTTCAAATTACTGTTACTGTGGCTTAGCTTCTTCTTGCACTGCATTCTTCGAAATTAGAGTACTACGAACCATAACGGTGTAAGTCACGTGATACACATTACTCGGATAATTCAATTTGACCTCAATTATTGCAAACTAAAGAACATACTTCTCAAAAATTTTATTTTGCAATTTCATAGACACGAAACAATCCACTTTTTGTTTAAACTTTATCTCACTATCTCTTACCGTTCCCAAGTTAATCCACGGCAAAGAAAAATTAGCATTCTCCTCAAGGGGTGGTTTCACCCCATCAAAGTGAAATTCGTCAATATATTTGTCAATTGCAATTATTGCAAGAAAAAACAATTAATGAATCGCAATTACTAAAAGATATATTAAAATAATGAATATTAATATGCGCTAATACCAAATAAAACAAATAAAATTCAATAGATTACTAATCAGACTTGGATTTACCCCACTTCCACACAAAGTTTCATAATCTTTCGAATTTCCGGGTGTGACAGATTTCCTCGCGGGTTAATTTTACGTGACAAACTCATCTGACTAAACGATTTTTCACTTGCACCGCTACGGATTCCCAGCACGCCAATTATTGTTGATTCGCGTGCGACACGTCGGAAGAGGCGTGCGAATTTTGGCCGGTTGACATTTTTCGAAAATAGCGGTGACTTGTCGGCGGGTGATCGATTAGGGGACAACCGAGAGACTTGGTCGCGGCGTCGGTTACCGATTTAACGGTGATGTAATCGAATTTTCGGCGGGTAACCGCGGCGCGATAACGGCCCGCGGAAATTATTTATTGGCTGGCGGACGAATTTATGACATCCACGTGGAAGAGGATCGGCGTAATCGTGGATGAATGCACCGCAGCGGCCGGCCAAGTCGCGGCGCGGCGCAGCGGTTCACTTGGAAACAAAATGGAGACGCCGCGTTTGCCAGGAATCACTTTTAGAAACGTAAAAGAACCGGCGCACAGTGCGGTGGACAAAACTCGAAATTTCACTATTCAGATAACGAACATTGAAGGTTACCTGTCGCTGAGTAATCTCAGCTATGCAAGATGAGTTTCGTTTAAAAGATAATTTTGTGCGAATCAATTCCGTTTTTCTGTTTATATAACGTTGGAATCGAAATGTAAAATATCCATTGTCATTTAAAATGCTTCATAATATCGCTGTAATGTAGACAAAAGTATAAGTATCATATTTTTAGTTCTGTACCTTATAAGTTTTGTCTAAAGTATTTGTTTGTATCACTCGTAGTTTTTTAGTTATTGAGTTTTGTCCAGAAAATGATCGTTTGACCGCACTGTGATCGAAACTATTAAGACACCTGCTTGCTTCTGATTACTGATCTGATTAATTGTAGAAATTCATTCGTGTTTTAACCGGTTAACTGCGTTCGATAAGTATGCACATCTTAAATCAGAATTATACAGATTCTTTCATTGATGAGTTATTTACTTTTTTCAAATAAATGTGTAAATCTTCTTCGTTTTGCTTTAAGTTTTCCTTAGAACGTAGTATGAGTGCATTCGAGCCGCGCTTGACCAGCATATATTCGTCGTTTGATTTTATTGCGTGCGCAATGAAAGACTTTGAAAATGAAATTGCGCAGTTAACAGGTCAAATGAGTTTAATGAACGTTCGCGAGAAAAATTGTTGACGAATTCTTCAGTTGTTTCTGTGAATTTGTTTCGCCTTTGAGATTTGAATATCAAAATGGGAAATGAGAATATTGGAATTTGTGTTAGTTTCATTTAATGTCAATTTAAATTAATTTCGAAATCAATACAAATATTTAAATTTTACTCGAATTGAAATTAAATGAATTTTGAAACAAATAAAAATATTCAAATCAAATTTAAATTAACTTCAAACAAAAGAAAAATATTCAAGTTAAATCTAAATTAACTTCAAACTAAACTAAAATATTCAAATTTAAAACTCATTTGTAACTGATCAAAGAATGTCGACGAATCAATTTCCACATCTAATATATACAGTAACAAACGTACTTATTCACATAGTTTCAACGCGACACGT